CTATTACCACGACTGGTATTCTTGACAAGATGGCAGATATGTACTGTGGGAAATACATTCTTAGGAGTCTTACAGAAACAGCCTCAATTTTGAAGCCAAATAGTTGCTTGTTACTGAAAGGCAATATATGCGTAAGTGAAAGAATTTTACATTATAGGAAAGAAAGATAATGGGGGCAAACCCATGTTTTATGTTTGTCACCTACTTTATGAAATCTTGATCTCTCTCATGTAGACATTTAGTGGTGAGAAATGAGGTGAAGTGCATCCCCACTGTTCCATGCTTTTATTTTTAGGGATTATTTCATCAGTTAAAGGTTGGCTTTTAACATCATTAAGAAGGAGTGCAAAGGCTAAAACTAAACATGAACTTCTTACTTTTATACTTACCCCTCTGCCACTGGGGACTACTCTACACAAAAGTTGCCATCTTACCTAAGACAGACATTTTTCTACACTTAGTAGCAAATACCTTACTTTGCATTTTTCTTTTCCACTTATAGCTGAATAAGCATTACTTTAAAACTGTACTTTATATTTTACTGACCTCACCCCTTCATCATTAACCTTTTATAGAACACTGCAAGCCCAATTGCTTGCTTCATTTCTCAGTGGCAAGGAAATCTTCAACCACTCCAGACAAATGGAAGACTAAGAAATGCAATAACTGGAGACTTAGCCAATCCAACTCTCCTCACCCATTTTCAGTGCTGCACTTATTATATTACTATCCACAGTAATTGTTGTCTAGAGACTTGGCCAAATTTATCATGGTTTTGTCCTCTGTGCTCCTCTACCACTTGCCACTGTCTGGATTAAAGGAGCAGAAGCCCTTAATGTACAATTACCTCTCAGCTGACCAGCCAGGGTGATGGGAGTAATAACGTGACCTACACATTTTGTTCCTCACAAACACGTACTCTACAGACTGAGCTCATGAATTCCACTTTCCCTGGCCCAAGGCCTGGAAACTTGAGTCTTTACCAAGTGCCAGGCCTCCCACTGAGGGCAAAATTAACCTCAGTCTACAGGTCAGAGCAGTCTGATTTCCTTGTATTTTGCAAAATATTGCTTTAAGGATATGAGGTTAATGAGGCATCTGAGACCATTTGGTAGGTATTTTAATTCCGAAAGGTTGTTTGGTTAGTTTGTTTTTACACAACTCTAATGGGGATTATGCAATCTAACAACTGTCCCTCTTTCACTTATCATTGCAACCTCCTCCCTAACCACAGATAACCTCTAATTTAATATTTAACAGTAGTTTAGAATTAACAAATTCATTTAAATGTTCCCCATGACAAAGGAAACAGATTAATAATGCAGCGGGTCTTAAGGATTTGTAAAGCCCTCAACTTCAATTTGCCTCTACATTAAATGCTAAAATTGCCGTTCAACATAACAATCAATGGAATCAATAGTACCTTTGAATTTATATGGCTCACTAGCATGCCTCATCTGTCTTTTGGGACCCAATCTTAAAGAGATTAGCAAAAGACCACATTCACAGCATCCCTTCCCTTCATGGTCTCCATGGTCCATCCTGTTCCTTTGTGCTACATCTTCCCCCCCCCCCCCCCCCCCCTCCCCCCTCCCACCGCCATTCCACTTCCAACTACTTCTTAGTACTTTCTACAAAACTATCTAGTCAATCGTCAGCAATCAGGAGCACTTTTACAGTTTAACTATGCTAAATGAATACCAGTTAGTTAATATTTAGTAAAGAAGCTAGCTAGTACTTAAGAGAAAAAACTGCTCTACATCCTTTAAACTTTTATGAACTAAAAGAGAACAAACCCGGCATAATCACTTCCACAACAGAAAAAAGAGGTACCCTTGATTCAAACTTTTTAAAAGTGCAAACCTCTGCTTCCACATTGTCATTTCAATTTCTCTTTACTAATTGCTTCAGAAACACAGTTCACATTGTGTAGTCAGGCAGAGAAAAACATACACAAAAGTTACACAGAGATTGTCTAACTTGTTCGTATCCTGAGCCAAAAAGGGCAGAATGTACACTGTACTTTTGAGAATGAGTTTAGAAAGAAAATGACTGGTTTAATGTTTGCCCGATTTTACAACAGCTACAATGAAAAACCCATGATTTTTCTTCCATTTAAATAAGTCATTTTCCACGGAAGAACTTCATTCTGTATATGGACCAACTTACCCCTACCTCCAAACTAGCAACACACATTTTTATATGCTTGCCTGACCACGAGACAGGTAAACTATACTGAGAAAAATCTACACTGATTTGCGTAGGTTATCTAACAATATAGGACAATGTCAAAATACGGTCAATTGAATATGCCAACTGCAACTCTGATTTCAAGAAAACCAAAATAACTCAAAAATACTTGCACAGAGCAAGAAGGTCACTTCAGTGCGTTAATATCCACACCTTCCAAACCCTGTAAGCTTTTATTAATGCCAAACTTATTAATCCACATTGTTCTGAAGAATTCACAAGAAGCAAATGAAGACTGAGACCATCTGACCCTCTAAACTGTGCATACAGACTGCCCAGCACTTTATCAGTTTACTGCTCAAGATCTACTCAAATACAGCAGTATAAAATGAGCAGAGCAGCAAAAAAATCCCAAGACATTCTGTCACTTCCACCGCTCCTATTCACAGGCCTGTAGGCATCAATAAAGCAGGAAAGTCAAACAAAGCTCATGTGTACACTTTGAAGAGCCAGCAGAAGTCAGAAGTTTCTACCTGGAAGGAAAGATGTGCACCAGCTCCATATTGGATCAGTCAGGGGACTGCAGAAAAACAAGAGAAAGACTGACTTCGTACGGGCTGACCATGGCTGCCTCTTATCCACTTATCGCAGGCTCCGATTGCCATGTTTAGTTCACCACATATGGGGCCTACAGTTGAATGTCCAAGATTCATATTTGTCTGAATAGACAGGAGAGACTCAAGGTAAGTTAGAGGAGTACAGCATATAAGAGGACTGCCCTTGTTGGGGAAGAGAGTAAGAAAAAGAAAAATGCATAGAGGACAGACTACCACTGTAAACTGAGTAATACAATCTGTAGCTGTGGGTGGAGAGAGCAAGAAAAAGAGCAGACACTGAAGAAAGTACAGCAGAAAGTATGCTGAGATACAATATGGAAGAAACTACATGGAACGAAGTAAAAAGTGAAAAAGACCTATTAATGTCTGTCTTTTTTGACTAAGCTCTCTTTGAGGCAAGGAGTGACTTTTCTTCTATTTCTGCATAGCCCCTGGCACAATGGCATGCGACTTACCTGCCAGTTTCCAGAGTATACTACAGAAACAGCAAATAGCAGCAAGAGACTGATGCAGCAAACCAGCCTGTCCAACAGGTTTTAAGAAATACACAGTTTGTTCAGGAACGAGACTGAGTAACATAATGTTCCTAGGCCTCTCCAGAAAACAACCAAGAGAAGGAGGAATTTTCTTCTATATCGATCAATGAAGTGCTGGTGCTGGGCTGCAACATGCAGTTTGGAAAAAGCGTCAGTCAGATGTGTGCTACTACGATAAGAATCTGTAATAAAAACCAGTCGACCACATCACAGACCAAACCAGAGTACTCACGAGAACACAACCATCATTATTATTAATTACAAACAGTACTTTTTGTATTCCCACCACTTTGGTGGTGGGAATACAGTCTTAAGTTCACCTGAATAGGTATCACGTCCCCTATTCATATCCTGATCAGCCATTACATTTGTAATATAAATGTGAATGACAGATGCCTCAAATCATTAGTCAAGTGAATAATAAATAAGGACAGCATGCTGGAGACATCCCCAATATGGAAGTGAAATTCATTAAGCAGCTACTTTGGGAATCTCTGACCTCTTATATGGAGGTGAAACACTTCATATTCCACAGATAAATATACTGAGCACAACTCTAATTAGTTTTAAAACTTAAAGAAAAAAAAAAAGGAAAAAAAAAAAAAAAGGTGTTTCTTCTCAGTACATGCTCCCATTCTGCAATACAAGCAAGAGCACTGCAACAGAATTACTGGTTACCCCAAATCATTACTTTTGGTTTAAATTTGAAATAAATATCCTGGGCAGTACTGAAAATCTGAGTAAACTTTACTTACGGATTCATTGCCTGTGGACAAATCCATATTCTACATACCTATCAAAAACTTGACAGGTACCACATGCATACATACACACCTAACTCCAAACCTATGCTGTACTGGCCCACATATAGTCAAGTATTCAACATAACAGCTACAAATGTTTTTTGAATACTATTACCTATGTTCTTGCCACAGTCGGAAAGATTTTGTAATACACCGTGTGGACCACAGCCAATGTTTTTGCTTTTCTACTCTCAAACACACATTGGTGCCCTTGGCACCATTTTTTTTTTTTGAAACTTTTTTTGGAAATATTACAGGACTGTTAAGGATGTTCCATATTTAGGCTAATTGTGTATTTTATATAACCTTTTTTACATTACAGGAAAACCCCAAAGAACAAGGGGAAACAAAACACATAAGCAAAAATCACCAAGTCAAATAAACCAGAAAAGATAATTTTAAAAATGAGGAAACCTTACTTGCAGAAGTAAAACCACTGAACTAGTGAGATATAAAAAGATATAAAAAGGACAAACATTCAAACCTTTATTTAGCCCACAATGTGGACAGAAATGAGCTCTTCACACTTTTTTTTTTTTTAAGTAGATCTACAATACTGAACGTATTTCTAAATGCCACATCTTGCACTTAGACGGATCTACACTGGAAACTTCCATAGTCAGGAGACTTCTAGAAAACTTTCTTTAAAAGTTATATTTTGTTGCAGTCGACTTCTACTCGTTTATTCAAGGTAGTTGCTACTAGAGTTTTGCAGGAAATCGAGTCAGGGACACTCCAACCATCCTTAGAAATGACAGTCATCTGTCATACAGTCAGCAGAACTTAGTCAAGGTAGTTCTGTGCACACACACGCACAAACATTTATGTATTTAATACTAAATTATAAAACTTACTTTTGTGCATCTGCAGATCGTTTCCAGCCTCGTTGCAGATCCTGTGAGATATCTTTCCCAATATTATTTAAGATGACATCATCTTTATTTTCAGAATCCTCTTTTATTCTAGCTGTAGAACAGATAGGCTCTTCAATTTTCGGACTCTTTGGCTGCATGTCCTCCGGAAGGGTATTTGTGTTCTGTAAATCCTTTTCACATCTGTTGGGTTCATCTTGGAAAGTAGAGGGTTTAGATTCTACCAAAGAAGATTTTGTTGCAATATTAAATAAGCTTCCAAGAAAATGAAAAAAACCTTCTCGGGGTTGCTTGTCTTTATGTGCTGTTTTGATTCCAGGAGTCAAACTAGGAAGGCTATTAGCCTTTTTCAGCTCCTCCTGGATTTCAGACTTGCTAAGTTCTTCTGTGGAATGGTTCTTCTCTTCATTTTGACAAACCTAAGATAAATACAAGAAGCACATAAAGAAGATGTTTCCTGTCATTTTCCCCACATTCCCAAATTCCTTAATTTTAATTTGCTCCTATGCATTGTATTTCTTTCAGGAGATCTGTTGTTTAAAGGTTCATTTAAAGATCAAAGCCCCGTGCTCTCTTCTTCTCTTTTTGTACTAAAAAGGTCCCTATTCTACAAAAAGCCGAAGGGACTACATAGGCTAGAAGATTCACAAAGCAGCTGCTGTGGAAGTAAAGTACAGAAGGACAGATGGAGAACAATTGCTTCAACTGGCAGAAAAAAACAGAGGAAGAAGCAAGGAACAATTTTTCACACTTCAGACTCTAATCTGCTCAAAAAGCACAGCTTCACAAACAAATCTATATGCACTTGCGAGATGAACAGTTTTCAGCTTGCAAGTATACGCAAGGACACCATAGCAAAACACAAACATACCATAGCCTTAAACACAGGGTAACCTGCACTTGTAAAAACCCCAGGAGAATCAAGAACAGAATTTGGATAAAATGAACTCAACTCACATGCCAGAGATTAATCCTACCTGCTATCCTTAGCAACCCCATGTTGCACCCTTTGGCCAGCTTTCCTTCAACTCCACGGGCTATTAACTGCACAGCTCTACTTCCAAATCTATTTGAAGTCTCACACAGCTCCATAGTCTACCATGCTCAAACTGCAGAGTTTTCCATACAGCCAAAGTCCTACACACCACTACCCCTGCACCCACGACCTTCTGAACTGCCAATCAGCTCTATCAGTTAACTGAACATAATTAGCACTAAGACAGGGCTTCACCTCATTTAAACCACCTGTTCATTTCTTCCCTCAACTCAGCTGAGCATCTACCCCCAGGGGCAAGACAGCTCTGTTCCTCACCAATTTATGCCCTCAAATTTCCCTGCTGTCAGCTTCTCTTACAGATTCAAGAACCACTGCCCAAGCCCATGCTACTTCTGCCAAGACCATCTGCCCAAAAAGATTATGCAACTTCACTGGTAGGCTTCACAAACACCACATGTAACCATGTTTTCAGCTTCACTATCTGCAAATGCTTTTTCCCTGGACTAAAGTTTTCTGGGGACTGCCTCCCCCCATCCTCACCCTTCGTAGTGGGTGCCATATGCTATTGCTGCCTATTTTATCTTTACAGTACAATCCTTGTAATTTCAATCCCTGTTTCAATCCAGTTTATTAAAACAGAATAAAATTACCCCAGCTTTTCTTAGATGACATCTATTCTGCTCAACAGGAGTGGGAAAGGAGAACATGAACAAAAAGTCCTATGCAAATTTTAGTTGTGTCAACAGTGTCTTTGGATAAGAGTAATTGTTTCAAATTGGATAACAACTACCCATCCAATCTAAGCAGAAAGCTACTATTTTCATTAGGTCACTAATCCTATTTCAACTTGAAGATGTATTTGTTTCAAGTAACCTAAAATAAGTGAGTAGGCTTATTTGTTAATAGTCCATCTTGGATCACGTTAATGATGGAAAAAGTGTTTTAATGAACACAGTTTAATCCTTGGGGAACCGCCATTTCTTAAAAACTTGCAAGTTATACTTAGTGATACTGGAGCAGTGGTCTTTAATCTTCAAGCAATATTTTGTCACCTGTTTCATACAAAGAGTAGATGTAATTGCTTAATATTAAGTCATCAGATGTATGTGTTGAAAATGGAATTGTTTACATGAGGATAGAAATTGAATGGCACTAATCTGTCCTGGAGAAATCCATACAATCTCTATTTTCTTCATACAGGCAAGACACTTAAAAAAACACATTAAGTAAACTCTCCAAAGTGGGCTAAGTCAAACTCTAGCCTTTTTTCATCCCACCTGTGACAAATCCCACCTGCTTCCCCACATACTGCACTAATCAATAGCTGATGTGTCACAAAGGGATGTAGTCAGCCCTGTAGTATTGAGGGATTTACTACTTTACAAGTCAATTCTACCCAAACCACTGGAAATGAAGACAACAACGGTACAGCTTACAGATGTACCACAGTGCTGGCGGGTATCTTCAGTACTAGGCAAACTATGCAAGCAACATGCAAACCTGGGATGAATCTCTTGAACAATAAACTTTATCTCATAGGAACTAAGTACTCTGCATAAGGAAATACAAAACAGAAACAAGAAGAAAATTAATTTCCAAAATTTGGTAAAACATGAATGATTCACCATAGTCAACTTCAAAGTTCTACTGTCATAGTTTCTTCCTTCACTTTGATTAATACCTCAGCATTCTTCAATACCAGTTTTTGATTCAACTTTAAGCGAAGGAGAGCATTTCTCCCTTGTTCTGTGATTAGTATCATTCACACAAATTTCTCAGATTTAAAAGAATATCTCAATGCATGATGTGCACACAAATCTTACTATTTTCTCTGCAGATATAACCATTATAAGCTATAAACATTTATATTAATTACTACAATATCTATGCAGTTAACAGCTAAATGCATTAACTATAAAAGAAAATATTACATTCAAAACTTGTCAACAGTTTAGTATTATGGGCTTTTTTTGTTGTTGTTTCTTGTTGTTTTTAAAGTAATTTGTATTCAGGAACTAGTGGGCTTTTTCCTATTAGGAACTGAGACTTCAACTGTGGCTAAATCTCTACACGTGAAATTCTTGCTCTAGCAGCTCTGAGACATAATGCTTGTAAAGCCTGTGTGTCTTATTTGTAAGCATAATTCATGCCCTGCATGAAAAGCTGTTTTGTAGTCTCTGTTTCCAGAAACAGGAATCTGTTTAGACTTTCCTTCCTCTTTAATCTTCCTTTCCTTGCTTTACTTTTGGTAAATCAAAAGAACAGGAAGTTTTAATATGAAAGGGTCCTTCCATACCTTTAACCATAAATAGTGTCTTGCATAACAAAAGCCCTGGAGAACATTTACACTGTGCTTACTTGAAGATATACATGGATATTAAGTCCCAGTGCAGAAACTATGCAAATCCTTCTTTCTTCCCTTCAACATAATCAATCCTACTCTCCATATATTCTCCTTCCTGCTCCACTTTGCTTCTGCTATAAAAGGCAGCGTGAGCTACTGGTGTTTTATCATTTGCCCATAAAAATCTCAATTCAAAGTCTGAACCACTGTTTAGGCATTATACAAACAAAACTATTCCTGCTACAGATTTTGAAGTTTGTATTTTAAGATAATGTCATATTCAAATTACTGAGATGAAAGCACATGATCTGTAAAGTCAGTAAGCCTTTAACACAGCAGGAGCTGTCAGGCACAAGCACCTGACGAACGCAGCAGTATGATGGCAATTTCACAATAACTTTCACTTATTATTTCCCATGCCTCTCTCTGAGGTCGTCTCTGACAGAAGCCGCCAGCAAATGCTCAGGGAGAAAAAAAAGGGGCATAGGGTATACGCAAAGTAATCCTTTTCCTGGTATATCCCATCAGTTTTCAACAGTCAAGGCCCTTAGTTGACCTCGACAGAGCAGTTGCATCTATGTCGCAATTAGGCTTGAGCAGTTTGATACTCACAATAGTGGAAGAATACCAGTGACTCTTGTATTAGTTACACTTCATGTCATCGGTTAAAAAAAAAAAAAGTAAATCCTCTTCCAGTGTCACAGCAGTCTGAATAGTTTCTCAGGCTTACCACACAGACAATAGTTTTTGGGTGAAAACCTACCTGTCAGATCCCCTTTGAGATCCTTGCTGATGCAAGGAAAAGTATTTTCCTGCTGTAGTGTTGTCTTTCTACTCCTTTTGTATACGGACTGTCATCAGTCTTCCATTTGCCTCCCCCTTTCCCACTCTCCGTGAGCTTTCCTGCTTGTGACATGCTTCATAAAGCTTTAATTAGCTTTTATTTCTTTAGCAACTCGTTAGTCAAAGTTTCACTGGGAAAGCCCTGGGTAACCTGGCCTGACCTTATAGCTGAACCTGCTTTAAGCAGGAGGTTGGGCTAGATGACATCCTGAGGTCCCTTCAACCTGAATTATCCTATGGTCCTGTGACCTCACACGCAATGAGGCTGGCGCAGAGGGGAAGCTCGGCAGAGCGTGAAACAAGATTATGACTTAAATCAGGTGACTGAAGAGACTGCGGTGATAACTGAAGCTGTATCTACTGTGCAGTCAGGTAGTGCGGTCTCACCTTGCTGAAGCAACTGCTGCAGAGAAGCTTGGCAGTCGGGACTCAGAAGACAAGCCCACGATGTCATGTCTCAAAGTGTGATTCTTATCTGAGCTAATTTATTCAACAGTAGACTAGGTATGTTTTCCAGGCTGTTATCCACTCCTGACTGTAGCACAGACATACGCCCAAAGCATAACTGCACCTACGCAGTCAGGCACACGGCTTGCCCCCCGAAGTGCAGAAAGCAGCTCCAGCGGAGCAACAGCACCCTGAAGAGGGATTGCTTTGCCAGGTTTGCCCCGCCTCCCATACCAGCTGGGAACAGCCGCCCTGGTAGCTGCCGTCTCTCAGCAGCTGGGTGGCAAAAGTTCAAATTGCCAGAGGTTCTCATTTGGCAGGGGCTACATTCATCTGCCAAGAATACAATCTCTTTTATTGCCCTAACAAGTGACTGAAATGAAAACATTAGCAGCATTAAAAGACAGATTTCCGTGAACAAAGAATTAGCTTCCAGCCACAACAGCCAGACATTTCGGATTTCACTCCCCATGAACGAACGCTCATTATGAAGCAGAAACTCCAGACAGCCGCGTGGAGACCTCTCACAGACCGTCTGTCCTGCTGCGCTGGGAGCTGCTGATGGAGGACATTCTGCGTATCGCATGGATATGCTCATGCACTTTAACCACCCCATCTCACCTGCAGTTGTGAGAGAAGACGGGAAGCCATCAGAATTTTAGGATCATCATTGATTCACCCCAGGGACCTTCAACAAGCCATTTCACCCCAACACCCCAATTTACTCATCTGATAAACGGTCACAGCACTACTCCAGAATTTCTGTTTGCTAGCATGTAGAAATAGTT